CCCTCTTCTTGATTTTTTTTTCTTTTCTTTTAATTCCCCCCCTCCCCCCCCTAATTAATTGATTTTAAGAGTTCGGTCAATTAATGGTGGATGAATTGTAAAAAAATCGATCTTAGTGTCATAAGAAATCTTTTAACAAAACTTATTTAATTAATAAAATGTTCCACTTTTCGTTCACAAAAAATCAATTGCGAAAAAATGGAATCATAAGCACATAAAATTGATATAAGCACATAAATAATTTCAATTTTGTTAATATAATAATACTTGTTTAATTAACTTTAAACTGAGTATTGACATCTTGTTAATATATATTGCATATTTAATTGAAAAATAAATAGGGTATTTTACAGATCATGGAACGATTTTTTCATCTAAAATGAAAGTTTGTACCTAATTCTAGTTCTAATGGTGTATCTCGTTCTTCCAGTTCTAGTTCATACGATTTTTTAAATATTATTTAGTCAAATATTAATAAACAACCTCGCTATCACGATGTTGGCTGTTGATAGTAAGCTTTCAACGATCGTAGTTCGCTCTAACTGAACTCGATCCCTGGGCTAAGCTTTCAACGATCGTAGTTTGCTCTAACTGAACTCGATCCCTGGGCTCGCCTCTGGATGCTCATGAGGTTGTGGTGATGTTGGTTGTGCCATGGTAGATTAGGGTTGGGTGGGATTAATGGTGTTTTTGACCAATAAATTTGATATTTTATTATCAATAAATAATATGCGATCAATTAATTGAAATCAATAAATAATATATGATCTAAAAATTTGAGTCGTCGTAAAAAAATTGTAATTTGGGAACAACAAATTAATTCCGACCTATAAATTCTTTGATTTGTGAACAATAAATAAACTTTGATCTTTATAATTATTTGATTCGTGATCGACAAATAATTTGTGATCAAATAGTATAGAATTATGATTTTAATATATTTAATTAATAAAATATATGTTAATTAATTATTTCATAAATAAAATTTAATTAATATTTGATTTCAACAATTTATTTAAAAAGCATCCTAAAAATGCTATCAGACCATGTTTGTCTATCATTAAAAAAAACTGTCATTTTTAATCACATATTTTTATAATAAAATATTTTGCATGTAAAATAAAAAATTGTCTCTAATTTTTTTAATCACATATTTTCAGAAAAAAAAATCATTATTTCAAAATTTATTTTTTCAAAGAAAGCTTTATATAGTGAATATCAAAGGGGGACAAATCCAGTAGTTGTTTTGAACCCCTAAATCACCCTTCCTTATCAAAGCACAAAGGAAAAACGATGAGCATATTTCATTCAACAATTCCGTGTATCAGCAGTGTTATTGTTCATTCAATTATGCTACATGATCACACTGATTTTTTTCCCAGACAACATTTTGACAGATTTCACTGGAAGTTGAAAATTAAAATATGAAAACACTCAATCATGTGTGTTGTCACGTCACCCTATTTTTTTTTTTTTTTCATGGCCAAATTGAATTTTTTTTCCAGACTACATTTTGACAGATTTTCACTGGAAGTTGAAAAATAAAACACAAAACACTCAATCATGGTGCTGTCACGTCACCCTATTTTTTTCTCTGTTTGAGTAGCATTTTTCTACTCTGCACCGCGCACGTTTGCTCACTCTCTAACTCCGAGTAAATTTAACCAATAATCACTGAACTTTACACTTGGTTACTACTTGCTCACTCATTTTTCACATGTTACTGAATGCTCACTCATCTTTTCATATAATTACTCATTCACCACTCGTCTCTTCAAATAATTGGACGACTTTTGCGGCAACTTTTCGACAACTTTCAACCGCAAAGAATGTCGAATTTTGATACCGTTGGAAAGCCCACGATGTTCTCTTCAATTACCACCCAAAATCTCATTATAACTCCAAGGGATTCGATCGAAAAATTGCCTTAAAAGTCGCCCAAAAATTCTGAAAATCTGCCCAGGTTTTCAGATTTTTTGGGCGACTTTTAAGGCAACTTTTCGGCAACTTTCGACCATCAAAACTATCTAATTTTGATACCATTGGAAAGCCTACAATGTCCTCTTCAATTACCACCCAAAATTTTCCAATAACTCCAAAGAATTCGGTCGGAATAAACCCACAAAGTCAGCATCCCGAACTTTGTCCAGATTTTCGCTTTTTCGAGATGCTGATTTTGTGGGTTTATTCCGATCGAATCCTTTGGAGTTATGGGAAAATTTTGGATGGTAATTGAAGAGGACATTGTGGGCTTTCCAATGGTATCAAAATTCGATAGTTTTGATGGTTGAAAGTTGTCAATAAATTGCCCTAAATGTTGCCCCAAAAATCTGAAAATCTCTGCAGATTTTCAGAATTTTTGGACAACTTTTAAGGCAATTTTCCAATCGAATCCCTTGGATTTATAATGAGATTTTGGGTGGTAATTGAAGAGGACATCATAGGCTTTCTAACGGTATCAAAATTCGACATTCTTTGTGGTCGAAAGTTGTCGAAAATTTTTCGTAAAAGTCGTCCAATTATTTGAAGAGACGAGTGGTGAATGAGTAATTATATGAAAAGATGAGTGAGCATTCAGTAATCTGTGAAAGATGAGTGAGCAAATAGTAACTAAGTGTAAAGTTCAGTGATTATTGGTTATATTTACTCCTCTAACTCCATTCTAGTACACAGCTTCTTCTCTTTCCAAGGGTAAATTCTTTATCCATCTGATCCGGTGATCCCTTTTTTCCTTCAAATTTTTAAGGGTTTTGTTTACGATTTTCTCACGTGTTGAATTTTTCTCTATTTGTTAAAGACTGAACAAATAGTTGCAGTGAAGCCATGGCTCTGGTAAGTGCATTTTTTTTTTTTTTGGTAATTGATTCGTTTCTAGATTTAGTCTTTTGCTAATTTCTGTATCTGGGTATGATTATGTTGGTTTAATTGGTGGTGCAGATTTATAATTTCAATTGAAGTTTCAATACTTATTGATTTATCATGTTAAAAGATTTATCAGGATATTTGTGATTGAGGTATAGAAATAAGCTATAATATGGGTGCACTGTAGATTGTTTATTGAGACTTTTGGTTCCATCTTAAAATTTCCAGAAATTTCCCTCCCAAGATTTGAGCTTTACATTGACCGAATGTCTCATTTGAGCATATTGAGCTCTGATACCATATCAAGACTTGGAGTACCATTTTAAAAGTTCAATCTTGTCTTTTTTATGTTGGTTAAATTTCTTGTACATAACCGACTTGACTTTTAAAATCCTTGCGATGAAATCTTGGATCTTTCTATCCATTTCATTCTTTTTACACCAACAGAACATTTTTGTTCGCTCTTCTGTTTTTAATGTTGTTCGAGCGTCTTAGCACATAGCCTCTATTTATGGCATGTGATTTGATTTCATCTCGTTCAATGACATATTGTAGTTACTATCACGTGGCTAAGACTTTTAAATGCCAAATTCTTTTGTTTATTGTCACAATTCTTGTGAAATATCGGACTGGTTTTGTTTATGGAATGCATTTTCCTTTGGTGCATATCAGGACATTAAAATATATCCTTTTATGGTTTTATTCAATTTCAAATTGTCTGCTCTTCTATTCAGACTTTACATGCCATTAGTACACACTATAGAGGCTTTAAGTCTCGCATTGCAGCGGAATATAGTGGTGTTAAAATTGAACTGGCAAAAAGTTTTGAGATGGGTGTATCAAATCAGACTCCTGAGTTTCTCAAGATGAATCCTATAGGAAAGGTATATGATAATATTGTGTATTAAAATTGACCATTTCACTTCTTTTCCTGATCTTCTAATTTTCTTGCTGTAGGTTCCTGTTCTTGAAACCCCTGATGGCCCAATATTTGAAAGTAATGCTATTGCACGCTATGGTGAGAGTATTCTGTCATTCTACGTTTGATGTCTTGACTCTATGTCAGTGTTTCTTTTGACATGTTATTTCTTAATTTGGACAGTAACAAAGTTGCAGCCTGAGAACCCCTTGTATGGCACCTCCTTGTATGATTATGTAAGTCATTAAGGCTTTAGTTTTTAATGGAACAGACAAATACATGGTTTATTGTTTCAATGACATCTACGATTGCCTTTGAATCTATATCCTTGTGATGAACTATATTATCTTGTCCTATTGCATTGATTCATTGGTTTTGATAGGGCCGCATTGAACAATGGATTGACTTTGCTACTACAGAGATCGAAGTGAATATAGAGCGTTGGTATCTTTCACGAATTGGTATCGCTCAATATCTTCCTCTGGTATGTCAGTCTTTCCATGTCATTAACAAGTACATGTTTGCTATTCTTAACCTCCTGAAATCATAATGATTATTACTTGCTCATTTTCTTTTATTGTTTTTTAAAGGCTGAGGAGGCTGCAATTTCTTCATTGAAGAGAGCTCTTGGAGCTTTGAATACCCATCTTGCCTCTAACACTTATTTGGTTGGACACGGGGTCTCTCTGGCTGACATTATTATGACATGCAACCTTAGTTATGGATTCTTTCAAATTATGACAAAGAGCTTTACCTCGGAATTCCCACATGTCGAGAGATACTTCTGGACCATGGTTAATCAGCCAAAATTTCACAAATTTTTCGGTGATGTAAAGCAAGCGGACTCTATTCCGCCTGTTGCATCCAAGAAGCCTGTGCAGGCAAAAGAACCTGCAAAACCCAATCCAAAGGATGAACCGAAGAAAGAGGCTAAGAAGGAAGAAGTGAAGCCTAAAGAAGTAGAAGAGGAAGAATCACCTAAGCCAAAAGCAAAGAATCCTTTGGATCTTTTGCCTCCAAGTAAGATGATATTGGACGAATGGAAGAGACTTTATTCCAACACTAAGACCAACTTTCGTGAGGTTGCCATTAAAGGTAATTATTTCTCTCACACTGCTTTTGCAGGAAGATTCTAAATTTATCTAACTTTGGATGTTCACTTGATTTTACTCTTTTACTTACTTTCGCCCTTGACATTGTGTCAGAAGTATCATATTGGCTAACATTGAGAATTATTTTAGTTTCTGATTACCAACATGATAAACAATTTTGGCAAAAGGTCATTTATGGAAAGGAATTGGTGATTGAATGATAACCTTAAATTATTTTCTTAAGACATAATATAAGGGAAAATTTCTAGAATTGCTGCTAAGATAACTCAAATGATTTAAGAGTTTTAACGTTTTAGATTATGTAAAATTCCCAGGCATGTTTGTCTTGTTTGGATTCATTATGAGAATGAGTAAATTCTTTTTGTGTTGGCTTATGATATGCTATGGTTTCCTCAACTTTCCAGGATTTTGGGACATGTACGATCCCCAGGGATACTCTCTGTGGTTCTGCAACTACAAGTACAATGATGAAAACACTGTCTCATTTGTGACTTTGAACAAGGTGAGTGGATTTCTGCAGCGAATGGATCTGGCACGCAAATATGCATTTGGGAAAATGTTAGTGATTGGTTCTGAACCCCCTTTCAAGGTGAAGGGACTGTGGCTTTTCCGTGGGAAAGAAATTCCTCAGTTTGTTCTCGATGAATGTTATGACATGGAGCTTTTCGAGTGGACCAAGGTGGATGTCAAGGATGAAGCTCAAAAGGAGCGTGTTAGCCAAATGATTGAAGATGCCGAGCCTTTTGAGGGCGAGGCTCTGTTGGATGCCAAGTGCTTTAAGTGATGAGACAATAGCTTACATCCCAACATGTTCCTTGTAGTTTGAGGTTTCGGCCTACCTTAATTTTGCCTTCGTGAATACTAGGTGTATCTAAGTTCAACTCGTGCCAACAGTTTGTCTGCATGTTGACGTGCTATGTATTTGCCTTGATTTTATTCTACTTATGCTTTTATTGGTATTGTGTTGGATTAAAGACTTAATACCCACATTTCGATACTATAGTAGATTATGGAGATGATAAAATATTAAAATGGAACTGAAATGTTTATACATCGTGGATTTGGACGGAGAAACCAAATACAATTTGATTAATGCACCAATTAACAAATTGTCACATGTGTCGCGTAGGACGATGAATAATATTATTCTAGAATGATTGCATGACTATATAATCTTGTAAACTCATTCATTAAGAGATTATCAACTAAACTTTTTGATAAGCATCTTGGAAGGATAGTTATTTATGATGCATCACATTTACTCAAACTGACAAGTGAGAGAGTAAGTTTGGTACCCTTGCAGTAGTATATTGTAAATGACATCTTAAATAATTATTCGCGAATATAATTTGAGTTAGTAATCCAAGTCTCCATTATCATAGAAAATGTTGCAAATTGTATACTTGATGGATCGAGTATAGTGAGATACAATTCCCTATGTGAAAAAAATACCATATCATATTCAATCTATATATAAAGTTAGACACTTGATCTTGATATTATTGTATATGTCTTATTAAATGTCTAGATCCAGAAAATAAGAACAATGATGTGTTATATGCACATTTAACGGAATCATGTAGATGACTTATTTACGATCGCTAGAAATAAAACTACTCCATCATATAACAAGTCATTTTAATTCTTAGTTGGTAGCATATCCTTAATTGCTAGCTCAAATTCTTTGAAGTGCCAATCGGTAAGATTTTGTTTGGAAGATCGATCTTGGTATTTTGGAGATCAGGGAAAATCGATTTTGGATTATATACTTGCGAGAGAGACTCGCGTGACTATACATGTTAGATATAATAATAATAATAATAATAATAATAATAATAATAATAATAATAATAATAATAATAATAATAATAAATTTTATGAAAACGAACATGTCTTAATTACTAATTTTGACTTTTGCAACATCTCTGAGCGATCTTTATCTTGGTGCATAGCTTTCATACATAATCAGTTCTACCAGCCTGCGCATTCTGGGGGTAATATGGGATTTGTTACGCAAAAAAAAGAACATTACAATGTTCCTATATAAGCATCCTTACCAAACATGCAAGGAACTATATTCATTATGGGTAGATTGATGAATCTTTTACACAAATAAAAAGGGGGAACATTTAACCACTGAGGAATAAAGGTAAATCAAAGTCATTTTTCTCAAGTAAAAAGCTATTTTTAAAATAAATAAGCTATTTCCAATAACAATAAAATGTAACCCATCAAATAGTATGATGAAAGACTTGTCGAAATAGCCATTTACATTGATCATAATTGTCATCCACACCATAATCGATAAGACTTTTTTTTTTTTTTAATTAAATACTTGGTATTACAATCATTGAAGGAAAAATACCCTAATTGTGAAAGTTTACGGTATGGTATTTAAACGATTTAATAATAAAATATGGAGTCGATATTGATATTAATATTAGTACAAGACAAATGGTTAATTGTGTGTTCTTAAAAATTGGGATGTCAATCATGATTAGACACCATGTTAAAGCAAAAGGAAGAATATTACTTGGGGAATCTATCTTCATTTGTGGTGGCAATACCTCCAGGCATCAAATTTGCATAAGTAAATTTGAAGATTAAGGCATTAGTAAATTTGATAACGATATTGATATTAATATTAGTACAAGACAAATGGTTAATTGTGTGTTCTTAAAAATTGGGATGTCAATCATGATTAGACACCATGTTAAAGCAAAAGGAAGAATATTACTTGGGGAATCTATCTTCATTTGTGGTGGCAATACCTCCAGGCATCAAATTTGCATAAGTAAATTTGAAGATTAAGGCATTAGTAAATTTGATAACTTTCCAACGCAATAATGGACTCCCATTCGAATTGATTAAGACATCCTAAGCTTTTTGGCTAACTATAAAGTTTACTTATAAGTGAATAAGTAAGTTTAAAATAATATTTTTTATTGATCAAAATTGAAAATAACTTATATATATATATATATATATATATTAGACAAAAAAGGAATAATCTTTTTTAAATAGTGAAATTCACATCAATGGATTGGTTAAAACTAGATATATGCAACTTGTGTTGTTGACATAATACTTTTGAATATAAGTATTATGCTTTTTGTTCAACACTCCCAACTCCACACCAGTTACCCACTAACCTTTAAAATTTTTATTTAAAAGGAATCTTTTTGGCATAAAGTGAATTGCAATTTTTTTTTATTTTATTATTATTTTTTTAAAGTGAATTGCAATATTCTTATAAGCAAAGGGTAGGGATTCTGGGAATTCTTCATGCAACCTATGATCAAGATTTAAAGTTTTACAGAGTGAAGGGTGGTAGGTGGGTCAATAATTAAGTATATTAGTTTAAATGGTTTGGGATATAAATTTGAACTATTCCTCTTATATGGTATCAAAATTTAGCGAGCTTAAACAAACAATTCGATTCGTCTAAAGGTCAAATTAGAATTTAGATTCAAACATTGGTACCATCAAACCATTCATTATCTTTTTGAAGTACGTTAATGATAAAATTTCTTATCAATTTTACACAAAAATAATAACCAGCATATTAAGTGGTTTAATTACTCTTGTTAATTTGGTCGACATTTTATTGATCTTAAATATTGTTTACAATACCGTTCAATATTCGAAAGGTGAAGAATTTTATATAATGATACTGGAACCCTCTTTTATCTAAATCAAAGAGAGCACGCTCCCACCCCCAAATATTTATTTTATATATTGGTGGAGATGCATATATATCTAAATAGGTTTTGCTATTGCACACATATGTATGATTTGACAAGATTCTTGCTTTCAGGTTTAATTAAAAAAAAAAGGTTGAACCCCAATCTTGAGGGTCCCCACCGTCCCATCTCTAGAGCTTTGTGAAGGAGGTAAATCGTGGGATGTGTCCCAGCAGACCAGAGAACAAGAGCTGATTATACACTGCGCCTACAAGAAGTCCAATTCCATGTTTTAGAAATGGAACCCCCATACTGCGGCTGCAACATAGCGTTAGATAAGATCACTCCTATCCTTTGCACCACTAGCGTATGCCCCAGGGGCTGCTTTCAGGTTTAATTAAAGATGAGAGTGGGGGAAGCTGTGCGACCTTTTCCTTTTTTCATTTGTTTATCAATTATAACTTTAAACCTTCAATTCTGCCTGATGTATACGCAGAAACAATATCTGTAATCTAGTAGAATTAATGTCCCCCATTCAATCATTAATTAGTAAGAAAATTATATAGAAAGTAACAGCAAGAATAATCCCGTTTGTCTGCCACTATTCAATTCAATGAAAATGAATTTTGGAATGGTGAATTTTTAGAAAATGTGTAGTTAAAAAGTAAGAATATTTTTTTGCTTTACGTAAAAAATATTTTATTATAAAATTATATGATTGAAAATGACTTAAAAAAATTAAAATAATAATAGGCAAACAAGGTCTAAAACTCGAGGTATCATTTTAAAAGGTGTAACACCCCCAAAATCTAGATATTTAGATCTGAAAGTATTATCACTTCGTTCTTTTTTTAAAATCATAAATGCGGAAAACGAATAAATTTTTCTTTGACATAATAAATACCAATGACGTATTATTTTCGAATAATTTGTAGTCAACAAAATATAGAACAATTAAATCGAAGTTTAACTTTAATTAAAAAAACTAATTTATCATCTAAATCTGATAATACTAAGTCTATGTCACCACAAGCAGTCACCCACGCTCAATTTCCCACTCACACATTCAATGGCATAGACATACACCTCGTAACAAAACATTCAGGATACATATTTTTGAAAACATTCATTGACTCATTGACATTTAGAAACTTTTTATTTTTCTTGAAATTTCATGTATGCTCATGGATCCAGTGATGTGCATGAATACGTCATGAGAAGTATTAATGACATAAAATGTAATAATTAAATATTAAGTTTACTTAATAACAAATTTAGATAACACATTCATACATTTAACGATGAAACATGTGCATGAAAATGATGGAAGGTTTAGTTACTTGAAATTCTTAACATATTACTTATTAGATGGTAGGTGGAGATGTTCCTAACCGCCAATGAGATCAACGTGCCAAGAACTCTAAGTCATTACCATTTTATTTAGGAATTTCAACATATTCAAATTTTAATTTATTTATAAGTATTACTTAGCTGGAAAGAAATATCAACACATAATTTATGTCCCCAGAAAGGAAGTGCACAGTAAATAGCCCTCAAGATGAGCGTTTGGTTTCTAATTTCAATTTTTGAGGACACTTAAATAAAAATGTAAAGCTTGTATTGTTTTGCAGTAAATTATACTTTATGGATGTTTAGGGATATAAAGTAAAACCGTGTGCTATGTCAAACTCCCATTTCCATATGATTATTGTCGAACCATTTATAATTCTAGGTCTAAAGTGTCTTACTGTATAAATATTTGAAGCTCATAAAAAATAATAAGAATAATAATAATAATAAGTGAATTCAAAGGGCATTTTTTATTAACTAGTGAATGCATTTTATCGACAGTTAACTTTTGATAAATTATTTATTCATAACAATCTCATTTCTATAAGTAACTCATTAAATAACAATTCATACATTTGCTACTGTTGAAAAGGATTAATGACACAAATTCCAGTCATCTATTTTGATCGTAAAACTTCCACTTGATCTAATAGTTATAATCTGTGAAATATAACTATTCGATTTAGAGAAAATTAATCTTGAACTTTTAACATGAAATGAATAATTTTCGTCCCTCTTATCACTAAAATAAAATAATTCGAAGGGAAAACTCGTGTATGTACGTGTGTGAATCAAATGCTATAATAGGCCCATATTCAAACAATTAAACAAAGAATATACAGCAGGCATAATTATGTCATTAAACTTTAGAATGAAACCAAAATAAATTATAATTCCAACCTTAATTCATGGAGCAGCATTCGATGCAGAAAGTGAAGAAGTAGGTACATCTTTGATATTGGAAAAAGTCACCTAATAATAAGGAGGTGTAACAACTAAATAAGGTAAAAACCTTGACCACTAAACATAGGACGTTTTATTAGGTATGATTTTCATTAGTTAACTATTAGACCCCGAATTTATTCTTATGAACTTATTTACGACTTAAATTGGTCACATTGATTTGTTAAATTTCCATTATGTGGTCTAATCATAATATTTGAATTACATTTATGAAATATAAATTGATTGGGAAAAAGATTATTCTTATTCGATATCTATGTACAAATTCTAAAATAAGATCGCACATAAGGAAATACATTTATTGTATAATATTTAGTAATAAGCACATTAAACTTAAATTAAAAAGTACGTCGATCGTCTAAGCGTCCCAATTAACACATTCCACTGTATAGTTAGTCAAGACAAAAATAATTATATTAAAATTAAGTAGTAAATATAGCATTAAGGAAATTAATCCAGATACACATGATAAGCACGATAAATAAGATTGCGGTGCTATAGATGAACCTTATTAAAAAGACTGGCTCAAGCTCTAGCCTTTGCACTTATATATTGTTTAAAGTTTGCATCTTTATTAATATGTGATTTATCCCTTAATAGTATGGAGGGAGAGATTGAACGGATCATAAAAACTTAAATTTTATTTGTTATATTTTCTAATCCTACATAGCCCCTATTTGGTGTAGACTAAAATTAAATTTTAATAGATGTTAACAAAATTTGATAAAATGTATAGTTAAAACTAATTTTACACAACTTAAGCTTAAAATTATAATTTGATTTCAATCCAAATCAAATGGTAACTTAATATTACATACATAATAAATATATGCACATTGTATTTAGTACGGATTTTAGTTTTGATAGTACGTACGTGGATCTTAAACATTATATACATCTTATAGTGATGAAAATCCGTCGAGGATTAAAATATGAAGTCCTTTAGTACTTGGAGTGAAAAGTGACAGATCCTACTCCACGAAACACACTAGAAAAAAACACACGAAGGTCATAGGACGAGGAAAAAAAGTGATCATGCCAAAAAAAAAATAAAAAAGGCAGCCCAACATGGGCGGCTCATTGGTTCAATTAATCTATAGATCAATTGGGATGCACATGCAATCCAATTGCATGCTGCCTAGATTCTTGACTGTCCTACACTAAAACTTCTCCTTCATTGTGAATGGTCACTTTGGATACTATGAACCTATTTTATAGGGATTATAATTTAAATTAAAATTAACAATTAATTTTAACAATATGTTTTAGGGTCTCACAATTTTTTAACCACACACATTTCATCAATTTTTATTAAAATCTACTAAAAAATCTAATTTTAATTCTCATTAAACAGGTGCTATAATTCTATGCCTCTGTTTTGTGGGGGATTGAAATCAAAATTTTCGTTCAAACATATATTTCATGGGACAAAACTTTTCAATCACACATTTCATCGATCTTTATCAAAATCTACTAAAAATTTGATTTTAATTCCCACTTGACCAAATACAACAAGTCATGTTACGTACACCTCCCACAAATAATGCCCCAACACGTCTCGTCATTTGAGGGTATATAATTGTCTTTTTGACTTAGCGAAGCCATGTGTTATCTTTAGGTAACACAATCCGTCACCTTACGTGGCATGTTCTTATTTGATCATAAAATATCGCTTATTGATAGTGTAAAGGTGGCATCATAAGCACAAATGGTTTCTTTATGGGAAAAAGAATCAAAAAATGTATGTATATAAGGTTTGATCTATCCTAGGACAAGTGTGTGAGTTTTAAGGAAAACTTTTTGAGAAGGTAGTGAAGAGAGAGTGCAGCAACCTTGAAGCTAGTTCAAACTAGTGGGAGGTTGTCTGCAAAATAAGTAGAAAGTTACTCAAAATTTAGTAGAAAGTTGAAAATAAGTAGAAAAGATCAAGCTCATATTTATGGCTCGTGGAAAGATTCAAATTAAAAGAATTGAAAATCCAGTGCACCGGCAGGTGACCTTCTGCAAGCGCCGAGCAGGGCTTCTTAAGAAGGCTAAGGAGCTCTCTGTGCTATGTGATGCTGAAATTGGAGTTTTCATTTTCTCCTCACATGGGAAGCTCTATGAACTGGCTACTAAAGGGTTCTCCTCTCTCTCTCTCTCTCTCTCTCTCTGATCTTTAACTATGAGGTAGTTAAATATCAAAGTAGACATAGATTCTAAGTTCAAAACTGGTAGCTATCCAATTTCTAAAAATTATGATAAAAAAATGAATTCGTTCTTAGAGCATATATATATGTGTTCAGATCATGTAGCTACTCAATTTATAAAATTTCTGTACATATCGGATTTTCGATAAATACATAATGAATTCATTCTGCAAGTGATAAGTGTATTTTTAACTATAAATTTAAGGAAATAAACATATTACATATTTAGCTGTTAGATGAAATATGTAAGAACTCGTGCATTTTGCAAGTGTGTGCTTTTATCGTTGTATCAACATTCCTATCTAGTTGATATGCATCCACACAACATACACTCATGGCTATGGAATATTGTTTGTGCATGTAACAAGTCGAGACATGTAGTTTTATGATTTGTAAGCTAGCTAGGACTCATTTTTTTTTGTGTTTTTGTATTTGAAAATGGAAGAAGCATGCAGGGTTTGATTGAGAGGTACATGAAGGGTAGCTTGTCAGGAATTCAAACTCAACAGCATAGAGATAAGCAAATTATGGTATGTTGAGCTTGTTCGTCTTAAAGTTTAAATGGTTAACAAGTTATTTTACGTCTAATACTTGATGCATACATAATTTCATAATTGATAATGATAAAAATTTATTTATTTAAACGATAGGTTGAACGAATTTGTCAAAATCATGATCCTATTAGTCAAAAAATTCATCATGGCAATCGAAATATTTAATTACGCGAAGTGCATGGGATAATCTATTCTGTCTAAAAGAGCACTTCGCTAAATGTAATCAATTCTTTAGAAACTTAGCATAGACAATACACAAATGAAAAATAAGTCACACATTGTTCTATGCTCAAATCAAAAGAAACATATTTTAATGTTGGAATCTATGGGTTAAATAATTATAAAGTGATTAGTATGGTTTCTAATTAAAAATTAAACAAAATGCAACACGATAGTGTTACATATTCTCAACTGATATTGATTCGTTTTATTTATTTACTATTCAATTAGTAATGTGTATCATACATGTACTAAAATAACATGTTCTATCTTCTTTTACACAATTTTGAGTATCAAGGAGAAAAGAGCAAAGTACTAGTAAATAGTTTCAAAATAAAATTATCATTAATTACAACACAATATAGTAAAATATAAAAAGGATAATCCTTGAAATTAAACTTACCTAAGAAGCATGATGTTAAAAAATATAAAAAATTGGAAAGAATATTTAATTATTCATTGATTATATCTAAATTAATCATAAACTTTATAATTTCCTCTAGGATCTAAAGGAGGAGATTAACACGCTGAAGCATGAGATTGATGTGCTTCAGAAAGGGCTGAGGTAATTAAATTTTTTTGGTAATTTTTCACTCTCAATATCCTAATTAATTTGAAGATATTTAAAAAATAAAAGCTAGAATTTGAATTCTAGTATTACTTAACAAATGACATGGAATTAATCATGACATATATCTTAATTAATTATAAGGTGCAATTCCAACTAAAATAATAAAAATATTGTGTAGATACATATCCGGAGGAGGAGCTGGCACTACGACGTTGGATGGATTGAATGATCTTGAGAAACATCTTGAAGTATATGTATATCAGATCCGCTTGACAAAGGTATTCACCAAATACATATGTCAGATATTTAATTTAGTCTAATTCAACTTATAAGTAAATAGTAAATTAATGAATATGTAACGTGACAAATTTACACAGATGGATATCATGTCTCAAGAGATCCAGTTGCTCAAGAATAAGGTGAGCTTAATTATATAAATTTTCTCCACATAGAACTACTTAAACTTTATCATGCTGGTGATGCGGTGACTGACAATAACTTTCTCAATTGTTGTTTCTACCAACGTATTTACTTTTTGTTGTGATTACCAATTTTTATTTCTTACTTTTCTGAACCAATATTCTTGATATTCAATTGAAGGAGGGGATAATGAAAGCAGCAAATGAGCATTTACAGGAGAAGGTAGTGCAAATATGATTATGATAATATGAATATAAGAATATCAAAAAAATAGTAATTCATTAGTAGGTACTAATTTATTGATAATTAATTAAATTTTCTTGATTTTGCAGATAGATGAGCAGTATGGGATTAATAACACCATGACATCAATGCTGACTGATATTGATCAATATCCATTATGGACTCATACTCAGTGCCCATTAACCATACAAAATGAAATATATCGGTTCTAACACGCTTTTTAATACCGATATACAGATTTGATCTCTTAAACACTGTGCTTAGTTTATGCTAAGCACCATGCTTAGGTGGCACACAGGTGCTTAGCATACACTAAGCACAGTACTTAGGAGATCATTACTATTGGAGATGTGACCAATTAAAGTTATTCTGCTAGATTTTAAGTTAAGAGTGTGCTTTGTAGACGTCATGGAGTTGTAACAAATCTAGAAATTGTAGTGTTGTTATCTACTCTTATATTTCGTAACGATATATGTAATGGATGCACCTTTTTATGTCATGCTATTCTAAAGTTACAACCTTGTACTTTTTTAATAAAAAGTGAAGGTTCATTAATGTATGTATATGTGAGTTAATGACATAAACATGCATGACACATGAGTATAACGCGCTAAAAAACAATCTTAAAAATCATTCTTCTTTTATTTTAGTCATTTAATCACGATCTTTTAACTGGATCATAGTAATTTTTTGCATAAGAATTATAGGATCACGAAACTAATTACAGTAATTGATAGATAAATCAGCATTTCATTTTATTTTTTTTAAATAATGGAAAAGGTTTTAAAGATACAGTTTACTCAAATGTGAATATTTAAGAAGTACAAAACGTGCTAGTGAAATAAATATACTCTTTACTATTGGATAGTATTTATAAACTATTCGTATTATAAATAATTAGAAATTAATGATGGATAAGTGAGTAATTTTTGTGGATTTCTTGTAATTTGTAGATAAAAATTACATGAGAATTTATGAACAGTTTATAAAACATGAGGTAAACAAGTGTATCTCGACCAAACAAGCTTGAAATGGTAGCTTTGTTGTTGCAGTGAAGTACAGCAGGTTGAGTATGAGGAATCTGGAGATCAACGAGGAGATACTTCAAGTGATTTCACAACAAGTGTTAGCCATGGCTGTGTACTCGGCTTCTGTAGATGACTGAGAAACACTGGTATGTTTATTTTAGCGCCGTGAGATTAAGGATTGTCCTAGGAAGATGCAGAAACGTTTTACTGATCTCCTAGAATTAGGACATGAAACCCAGCTCGAATCACATAAGGCTTGTAAAGTCAATGAAGAAGAAGAGGAAAAAATCCCTTGGCCAGGGCATTTTACACACAGTGCAGAACGTTATTTGCATCTTGAAGATGTGGAATTCTTGGCAAATCCATGAACTGAATTCAGTTGGGCACTGTCTAGTTCAAGTCAGGTCCTGTGATAGGAAGGTAGAGTAAATGCCTAATCAGCATCACGACATATAAAAGGAACAGCAGGAGGCTCCCCTGTAGTTTTGCTTGAAGTCAAATTAGGATCCATTGGCAGCTTGAGAGGCTTAACACCAAGGGAACCTGAGTCTGCTAGATGGTCTACAGCATATTTTGTTTGACAAATGTGTATTTTCATTGTTTTATCGACCCACTTCTATGCCAAGAAAATAGTTAAAAGAGCACCAAGGGTGGATTATAAGCAGAATCAACGTGATGAACTAACCGTAATAACGATATACATATCTCATTGTTACTTACGACCATGGATAATTCAATATTCAGTCATATGTAATTTGTTTCTTATGATCATAACTTTTTGTGATTAACAAGTTATTTCGAGTATCTAGTAAATGGAACCGTCGGGTTCAAATATAATTATGGAACCGTTCGGATTCGGTTCGGTTCGGTTCCGTTCGGTTCTGTACTATAATTAAATTTTTTAACATTTATAACAACATTATATAAATACAACTAATGATACATTCAATGGTTTTGGAATGTCAGAAACTAGTAGACTACATTGTTCAAATGATCACTACAGTCAAAGCTTTGGTCGACGGAGGTCACAGTGTCGGCCGACGATTGCATAGGTTTTGGAATATTAGCGAGGCTGCGAGAGTGAGCGTGAGAGTCGAGACAACGTTATGCACTTAGTGTAGACTACATTGTTCAAATGATCACTACAGTCAAAGCTTTGGTCGACGGAGGTCACAATGCTGGCCGACGATTGTATAGGTTTTGGAATATTAGCGAGGCTGCGAGAGTGAGTGTGAGAGTCGAGACAACGTTATGCACTTAGTGTAGGTGTTTAGGGTTATTTAGTGGATTGGATTTTGTTGGGTTAAGAAATGAAACAATAAAATGGGTAATTAGACCAAAAATTTAAAAATTAGAAATGAAACAAATTATTGGGCCAAAAATTTGGATTTAGAAATTGTTAATTTGTTTAGAAAAAATTAAAATTAAAATAATTTGATTTACTCAATATAAAAAAAATTAGAAAGATTTGGTTTTTCGGTTCTTGGTCTAGAACCGAGAACCAAATCGTACCCGTCGGTTCTCAATTCAGATACCCGTTCGGGTATTTAATTTGACAAGAACC